TCATGGATATCTGTTAGAAATTTAGAAAGAGGGGAGATCTAAAGATACAACAACTATCATGGGTTGACTAGGATACTGCCTTTGGCTGCTAGACAATGAAAGACATTTGAAAGAAAACAAATAGAACAGGAGAATTCATATGTGGAAGTCTTTATAAACTAATTGCCTCCACGTTTCTATGGTGGGATTTTTGCTATACTTTGTAGCAAGGTAAGACATGCCTCATAAAATGAAGTAAAATGTCCAGGTTTCAAACAATTAAGGAAGAGGAAAATATAGTGATGTTAATGATTGGCCTAACAAAGTATGCCTACCTGGCAGAATGATATCATGATTATTTGCATCAATATTGTGGCCATGCATCAATATTGTGGCCAAACTCCATCTCATGTTGCTACAGAAACACCACTACCCAAATAATAGTGTGCACTTGAATTAAAGGGCAACTACACTAAAAACTCTAAATTTCATAGATTTTTACCAGATGTCAAAAGTGGTCTCCTGATGTGGTTTAAGCATTGTTATGGACTTAGAACATGTCATTATGTTGTTTTTCTATTTTAAAAAGTGTGACTTTGAAAAAAAAACAGACTCAGTTGACAGCCTCCTGTATCTGTTTCAATAGTAGGCCTACTATTAGCCTACTGCACAGAACATCTTGGGTTGGCCTGATTGTGAAAGACCAATATGGGATTTATCATTTTACGTCATTCAGTGTGTATGTCACTGTTTCTCATAGAATTTTTCACATAGGGCACCTTTCCTTCGCTTGGCGGGCCATTTGGGAACTTTCTGGCAAAATTAGATTATACCCACTTCACAACTGTTTGCCAGCCACTGTTTCCCCCGCCCTCCCTTCTGCAAATATGACCATAACTCTATCCTTCTGATTCCTGCTTACAAGCAAAAACTCAAACAGGAAATACCAGTGATGCGCTCATTACAGAAGGGCTCCGATGAAGCGGATGCTAAGCTACAGGACTGTTTCGCTAGCACCGACTGGAATATGTTCCAGGATTCATCCGATAACATTGAGGAGTTTACTACAATAGTCACAGGCTTCATTAATAAGTGCATCGACGGCACCATCCCCACAGTGACCGTACATACTGTACATATCCCAACCATAAACCATGGATTACAGGCAACATCCGCACTGAACTATGGATTACAGGCTAGAGCTGCCACGTTCAAGGAGCGGGATACTAATCCAGCTGTTTATAAGAAATCCCGCTACGACCTCTGACGAGCCATCCAGCAGGCAAAGTCTCAATACAGAACTAAGATCGAATCCTACTACCTAACGCTTGTCGGATGTGGCAGGGCTTACAAACTATCATGGATTGCTCGCTTCGAGGCAAGCAACACTGAACCACGCATGAGAGCACCAGTTGTTCTGGACGACTGTGTGATCTTGCTCTCCATAGCCGATGTGACTAAGACCTTAAACAGGTTAACATTCACAAGGCCGCGGGGCCAGACGGATTACCAGGACGCGTACTCAGAGCATGTGCTGGCAAGATGGCAAGTGTCTTCACTGACATTTTCAACCTCTCCCTGACCCAGTCTGTAATACATAAATGTTTCAAGCAAACCACCATAGTCCCTGTGCCCAAGAACGCCAAGGTAACCTGTCTAAATGACTATCGCCCCGTAGCACTCACATCTGTAGACATGAAATGCTTTGAATGGCTGGTCATGGCTCACATCAACACCATCATCGCAGACACCCTGGACACACTCGAATTCGCATACCACCCCAACAGATCCACAGATGACGCTATCTCTATTGCACAACAACACCTCTACCCCCTCAGGAGGCTGAAAAGATTTGGTATGGGCCATCAGATACTCAAAAAGTTTTACAGCTGCACCATTGAGAGCATCTTGACTGGTTGCATCACAGCTTGGTATGGCAACTTCTTGGCATCCGACCGCAGGGTGCTACAGAGGGTGGTGCAGACAGCACAGTCATCCAGGACTTCTATACCTGGATGACTGGGCCTCTCCCTCTCTCCCTCCCCTCCCTCAGGACCTGAGCCCTAGGACCATGCCTCAGGACTACCTGGCCTGATGACTCCTTGCTGTCCCCAGTCCACCTGGTCGTGCTGCTGCTCCAGTATCAACTCTTCTGCCTGCGGCTATGGAACCCTGACCTGTTCACCGGACGTGATACCTTGTCCCAGACCTGCTGTTTTCAACTCTCTCTCTCTACCACACCTGCTATTTCAACCTCTTAATGCCCAGCTATGAAAAGCCAAGTGACATTTACTCCTGATCAACTGACCTGTTGCAAACTCTACAACCACTGTGATTATTATTTGACCCTGCTGGTCATCTATGAACGTTTGGACATCTTGGAGAAAAATCTGGCCTTAATGGCCATGTACTGTTATAAATTCCACCTGGCACAGCCAGAAGGGGATTGGCCACCCCTCAGAGCCTGGTTCCTCTCTAGGTTTCTTCCTAGGTTTCAGCCTTTCTAGGGAGTTTTTCCTAGCCACCGTGCTTCTACATCTGCATTGCTTGCTGTTTGGGGTTTTAGGCTGGGTTTCTGTATAAGCACTTTGTGACATCTGCTGATGTAAAAAGGACTTTATAAATGCATTTGATTGATTGATATACCAGGCGTTGTCAGAGGAAGGGCCGGAAAATTGTCAAAGACCCCAGCCACCCAAGCCATAGACTGTTCACTATGCTACCGCATGGCAAGCATTACAGGAGCGCCAAATCTGGGACCAAAAGGATCCTGAACAGCTTCTACCCCAAAGCCATTAGACTGCTGAACAGTTAATGAAATGGCTATGCGGACTATTTGCATTGACACTTTTTTGCACTGACTCTATGCACACTCACGTCATTTAGCAGACGCTCTTATCCAGAGCGACTTACAGTTAGTGAGTGCATACATTTTTATATACTGGAATCGAACCCACAACCCTGGCGTTGCAAATGCCATGCTCTACCAACTGAACTACATCCCTGCCGGCCATTCCCTCCCCTACCCTGGACGACGCTGGGCCAATTGTGCGACGCCCCATCGGTCTCCCGGTCGCGGCCGGCTACGACAGAGCCTGGATTCGAACCAGGATCTCTAGTGGCACAGCTAGCACTGCGATGCAGTGCCTTAGACCACTGCGCCACTCGGGAGGACATACTTACAATGACACTCCAACACACACACACACACACACAAACACAGTTTTGTATTGCCATCCTTGTGGGGACCAAACATTTTCCCAAACCCTAAATCTAACCCTAACCCTAACCCTTAACCTAAACATAACCCTATCCTTAACCCTAAACCTTAACCCCTAACCTGAAAACTATACCTAACCCTAGCTCCTAACCCTAACCCTAATCTTAATTCTAACCCTAACCCTAATTGTAACCCTAACCCTAAACCTAACCCCTAAGCCTAAAATAGCATCTTTCCTCGTGGGGACCGGCGAAATATCCCCACTTGTCCAAATTGGCCTTGTTTTACTATCTCTGTGAGGACATCTGGTACAAAAACACACACACAGACACACACACACTACATACGCTCACACACACACAAAACACACACACATGCTTATTGACACCACACACACTGTTACACTCTTCACAAACACTGCTGTTACTCTGTTTATTATCTATCCTGATTGAATAGTCACTTTTACCCCTACCTACATGTACATACTACCTCAACCACCTCGTACCCCTGCACATTGACTCGGTACCGGTACTCCTTGTGTATAGCCTCGTTATTGTGTTTCTACTTTCTACTTTTAAACTCTGCATTGTAGGGAAAGGGCTCGTAAGAAAGCATTTCACGGTAATGTCTACACCTGTTGTGTTCAGCGCACAACCTTTGATCACATGGTTGTTGTAAAGGTCATGCAGTCAACATATAATAATCACTGGAGACTGCGTCCAAGATGTCTGACCGTTGTTTTCAAGGTAATCTACACACGTTCGCATGGACCGTTTATATCCTGGTTGCATCTTGTTTATACGGACCAACATCACATGCGCACTAGCACTCAGTGCACACAGAGACCAGTGAGAGCAGCGACGACTTCATTATGTTATCCAAAAACATTGCAGACATTATATAAATGTTAATATCTTCAGCTGTGAGTGATGGAAAAACAATTGGCCTCAGCTACAACTATTTGAATAATTAAATTGATGTTTTGTGCACAGTGATGACTAAAGAGTATTATTAGGAATTTTTAAATCAGACTTTTCTATGTGGCCATCTATGGAAATTATCTTTCTGGGCCGGGTGTCAGTTAAACTGCAGTACCGAAGCAAAACTGTAGGAGCACTTGAAACTGTCCTTCTAGACAAGAACCCTAGCCCATTGCAGTCGCGAGTTGTAAAATGTTTAAACCAATATTGCAACACACTTTGAATGGCTGTGACCAACTGTTGGTCAACGTCAAATATTTTGATAACTAACCCAAGATAGACCAGAGCCTGTCGTTTCAATGGGGGAAAATTAATCATAGTGGGCAGAACAAGCAAGGAGGTGGGCAGAGCCAAGCACGAGCTGGTGAGATCATATTGATGCTTTTATTTAGCATATTTCCGTTTGGGAACGCCTGCTCTGTGATGTGCGGGTGTGCAATAACTCTATCCGCCCTTGCACTCCTTCTAAATATTTTTTAAAAACATTGACAAAGGGTAAAGTCTACAAAACAGAAACCTGTATGGGGATCAAATGTTTCATCGATGAGAAAATTAGCAGAATGTCAGCCAAAATCCATCTTGCTCCATCTTCTCCCACTTCCTGCCACTGGGCTTCCTCTCATCACCATATTTGGCAGTGAGTGGAAATGCTAACCGGAGGCTTCACATTTATCATCCGGTTAAATATCTGGCTCATTGTTTGATGTGTCAATGTCTTGACAAAAGTGATCCGCTAGAACCGCCCAATATTTCAGCCACGAGCAGATACCCATGGCTAAAGTTTGCCAGGAGGTCAGCACATTCTCACATCAAGTTACATTTTTATAAATGCCAACTTTTGCGTGAGGCCCCAGTATCTTTGGTAGAGATATGCGGCATCTCACTGCCTGCACAGTAGAGGGCGATAAAGTGTTTTCTGATTTACATACAGTAAAAAATAAAAAAAAGCAGTCCCCGTTGTCGCATGTTGATGACGTCAGGAATGAAAAATATTCGACAACATGGAGAAGAAACATGTGTCAGCTTTTGAATTGTACCAAAATGCGCTAATAGAATCGACTCCTGAAGTTAAACCATCATCTGTGCAGGTACTTGGGATTAAGTTATTACTGGTGTTTGCCCCTTGCAATTTCAGATAGTTTTTGTAAAAGTGACTTTACAGTGTCTTGTTTTGTTAGGCAGGCACACAAATCAACCTGGTTGACAAATCAACTGAAGAAAGCTAACTAACTGATGTATTGTGAAGTGGGCTTGTTGAATAATGTGCATTTAAAGACCATCTGTTGAATCTACTTTTGCAATGTGCATCTGATTGCCTGAAACTATTTCAAACTGACTGCCTCAGCCTACTGGATGATTTTCTAGGTTACAGCAAAGAAGAAGAAGAAGAAGCAGAAGGAAAATGGTATCCAGACCCCCAAATCCATCAAAAGGGTCAAAAGGAAACCGATGGTCAAGCAGGTCATCAAATCGGCACAGAGAGAGGAGAGGTTGGAGAGACTTGAAGAGGTTAGTTTGTACAATCAGGTCACTCCCTCTATATTGAAGCCACTTGTTCACATACTGTAACTGTTTGACTGTGGTTCTCTAGCCATACCTGTCATTGTCTTTCTGTATGCAGGAGGTGCAGTGTGAAGAGAAAAGTGGAGAGGCACTAGAGGCTCTGCTGAGTGACCTGGCTAAAGTCAGCAACAGCCGAGAGAGGGCCAGCAAACTGTTCCAGTGGCTCATCCACCCCATTCCTGCCAAGAGCTTCTTCAGGTACTGATGCCTGTGTAGTTTTTGTTTTCACAGTACAGTCATGTACTAGATTGCACAGGGAGATATCCTTTGTTAAATTTATTGACTTCCTCCATCTTAGGGATACATGGGAAAAGAAGCCAGTTTTGATCAAACGTCAGAATCCAGACTACTACAAGGGACTGTTCTCCACAGCAGAGTTTGATTGCATTTTAAAACAGGTAAGGTGTCATGTCTAGCTAGACATCTTCTGTTTTTGTGTTGGTGTCATTTTTGTTGATCAGATAAGGTTAATGTTGCTATGGACATTTCCAGGATGATGTTCAGTATGGAGTGAACCTGGATGTCACCAGCTACACAAACGGCAAAAGAGAGACACACAATCCTCCAGGGAGGGCTCTTCCTTTTACTGTATGGGCCTTCTATGAGGTAAAAGCCAAATGAAAGTCTCCTGATTCCCAGTTTTTATTTACTAAGTGTGAGCAAGTGTTGGTTAAAATCTAGATCATACCAATATCTGTGTAACATGTTGTAGTTGGAAGTTCTTAGTACCTCATAATATTGAAACCTAACCTGGTATGTTCCATGTCATCCATGTGTAGTGTGTCTAGCTCAGTTGGTAGAGCGTGACGCCAGTATAGTGGGTTGGATTCCCGGGACTAAAATGTGTGCATGCGTGACTAAGTCGCTTTGGTAAAAGCGTCTGCTTAAAGGCTTATTATTATTATTATCATTATATATTCTATATTATCCACAGAGTGGTTGCTCCCTGCGTATGCTGAACCCCCAGGCCTTCTCCTCCACTGTGTGGACTGTGCTGTCTATCCTCCAGGAGCAGTTTGGTAGCATGGCAGGAGCCAACGTGTGAGCGACCCTCTCTGACAATCTCTGACCAGTGAGATGCTCTCACACAACATTGAGGGCTCTATTTTCGGCTTGCGTTAAGCCAGTGCAATTGTCAAACTCGCACTCGTTTGACATTTCGACCTGTTAAAGCTGTGTTCTTCTGTATTCAAACCCTAGCGGCAGGATTGGTAATGTATCTGTCTTATATGAGCTCGCTTATGGGAGGGGTGGCAATATCTGAGGTGTGTCCTTAAAAAATGTGCGCCAAGGTGCCAATTTCAGGCAATGCTGGGGATATTTAAGACCAACCAAAAGCTGGTCTTAGCGGTAAAACGTTAGGTTATGGTGTGGATTCTGACAGTGGAAGCGCAGCCTATCCAGCCGTGACGCACAGTGCCCATAAAAACCAATGAAGGCTGTTTTTTTGGTAATGCCCAATGCATTCACCAAGTAGTCAAGACTATCATGAAGGGTTTGGCTCATGAGACCGCTTTGAAGTGAACCTTTATCACCAAAGCTTTATTAAAAGATCAAGTTTGGGAGCATCCACTTTTTATCTATGTAGGCTATATTACATTATTTTAGCCAGCTCCTGTTATTATTTTGGAACGAGAGATGAGATGATCCGGTGACACTCGTATTTAGAAAAATGTAAGTTATTTTCCTGTAACAGTTGCTTGTTTTCTGTTTCGTTTGATTAAAAAAACAATCCCATATAGTCTACCCTTACCCTACTATAATGACCCCTTACCCTGCTATAATGAAAGCTGGTACAACAGCAATGTGTCTGGAGTCTTTGTTATCCTGGCCATGCATTAGCCAAGGAGCCTATCCATAAAACGTTTCTAAATGGTCTACTCGTGAGGCTTTTGCCGTCAAGCTTTTTCATTATTCACATAGGCCTACCGGCAGTGCATACTCCATTCGGCTTGTATCCATCCCCATTTCCACAGAGTGCCTCTTGTCCGCTTACCAAAGACTCTCCTCATTTTCCAGCCCTATAACGCCATATCAACGGTAGGCCTAGGCTGTATCTTGCTTATTGAGAACGTGCCTCACACATAAAATACAATTTACGGGAGCCTAGCAAAGGCCTATACTCATTGAAGCCAATTACAACAATGTTGGCTGTCAACACTCAACATACTGAGCAAACACTGGATGTATTTTACTGTTGCTATCACTTGTTACTGTAGCCTATGCTATTTAATAAACTGTATCAATCCACAATGGACTAGGAAGAGAATATTCAGTGCCCTCAGCCGGATTGGAGTTGATGACAATGCAAAGACCGTCAATAACAACCAGAACTTAAGACAACAGCATGCACTATTCTGTTGTATTCTTACCACATGCTGAATGCTGATGCACCTCCTCATATGACATATCAGTAAAAAGTAGTTTTTTATCCCCAGGTATCTGACACCTCCAGGAACACAGGGCTTTGCTCCACATTATGATGACATCGAGGCCTTTGTGGTTCAGCTGGAAGGGAAGAAGCACTGGAGAGTTTACAACCCCAGGTGACTGAGTTATTAACAGTCTAAATCTAGTTTATAAAATTCCCCAAAAGGTGATCAGCACCTAGTGCATGCATCAAACCATTTTGAACAACATTCATATCACTAAACTCTGCTGAGAAACTAATTCTGTATATTTTGTGGGACGTTTGTTTCCTGTCACCTTTTAGGTCACAAGATGAGGTCTTGCCTGTCGTTTCCAGTCGTAAGTATTCCTTTGTCCACCCTTTTGCCTATAAATAGACTATAAGCACGACAGATCACTTCCCAGTCCCCTGTGCCTCAGCCTCATCCCTTACAGATGGTTTGGTATTCCTCCTCCTCCAGCTAACTTCAGCCAGTCAGAGATTGGGAAGCCCATCCTGGAGGTGGTCCTGGAGGCTGGGGATCTCCTCTACTTCCCCCGAGGGTTTATCCACCAGGGGGACTGCCTGCCGGATGCTCACTCCCTCCACATCACTGTCTCATCTTACCAGAGGAACAGCTGGGGAAACCTACTGGCAAAGGTTTGTTATCAATCCTCTGCTTTCCTTGTATGTGACACTGTCTAGTTCTTTGTCTCATTTTGTATCAACTTTGTGATGTACACTACCGGTCAAAAGTTTTAGAACACCTACTCATTCAAGGGTTTTTCTTATTTAAAAAAAAAAATATTTTCTACATTGTAGAATAATAGTGAAGACATCAAAACTATGAAATAACACATATGGAATCATGTAGTAACAAAAAAGTGTTAAACAAATTCTTCAAATAGCACACTTTTGGCATTCTCTCAACCAGCTTCATGAGGTAGTCACCTGGAATGCATTTCAATTAACAGGTGTGCCTTCTTAAAGGTTAATTTGTGGAATTTATTTCCTTCTTAATGTGTTTGAGCCAATCAGTTGTGTTGTGACAAGGTAGGGGTGGTATACAGAAGATAGCCCTATTTGGTAAAAGACCATGTCCATATTATGGCAAGAACAGCTTAAATAAGCAAAGAGAAACAACAGTCCATCATTACTTTAAGAAATGAAGGTCAGTCAATACGGAACATTTCAAGAACTTTGAAAGTTAAGTGCAGTCGCAAAAAACATAAAGCGCTATGATGAAACTGGCTCTCATGAGGACCGCCACAGGAATGGAAGACCCAGAGTTACCTCTGCTGCAGAGGATAAGTTCATTAGAGTTACCAGCCTCAGAAATTGCAGCCCAAATAAATGCTTCACAGAGTTAAAGTAACAGACACATCTCAACATCAACTGTTCACTGTTCAGAGGAGACTGTGTGAATCAGGCCTTCATGGTCGAATTGCTGCAAAGAAACAACTACTAAAGGACACCAATAATAAGAAGAGACCTGCTTGGGCCAAGAAACACGAGCAATGGACATTAGACCGGTGGAAATGTGTCCTTTGGTCTGGAGTCCAAATTTGAGATTTTTGGTTCCAACCTCCGTGTCTTTGTGAGACGCGGTATGGGTGAACGGATGATCTCATGTGTATTTCCCACCGTAAAGCATGGAGGAGGAGGTGTTATGGTGTGGGGGTGCTTTGCTGGTGACACTGTCTGTGAATTATTTAGAATTCAAGGCACACTTAACCAGCCTGGCTACCACAGCATTGTGCAGGGATACGCCATCACATCTGGTTTGGGCTTAGTGGGACTATCATTTGTTTTTCAACAGGACAATGACCCAACACACCGCCAGGCTGTGTAAGGGCTATTTTACCAAGAAGGAGAGTGATGGAGTGCTGCATCAGATGATTTGGCCTCCACAATCCCCTGACCTCAACCAAATTGAGATGCTTTGGGAAGAGTCGGAACGCAGAGTGAAGGAAAAGCAGCCAACAAGTGCTCAGCACATGTGGGAACTCCTTCAAGACTGTTGGAAAAGCATTCCAGGTGAAGCTGGTTGAGAGAATGCCAAGAGTGTGCAAAGCTTTCATCAAGGCAAAGGTGGCTATTTGAAGAATAGCACCCCAATGGTGGAACAAGCTCCCTCACGACGCCAGGACAGCGGAGTCACTCACCACCTTCCGGAGACACTTGAAACCCCACCTCTTTTAAGGAATACCTGGGATAGGATAAAGTAATCCTTCTACCCCCCCGTACCCCACCCCAAAGAGGAAGAAACATTTTTTTAAATATATATTTGTAAAGTGGTTGTCCCACTGGCTATCATAAGGTGAATGCACCAATTTGTAAGTCGCTCTGGATAAGAGCGTCTGCTAAATGACGAAAATGTAAATGTAAAATGTAATCTCAAATATAAAATATATTTTGATTTGATTTTTGGTTACTACATGATTCCATATGTGTTATTTCATAGTTTTGACGTCTTCACTATTATTCTACAATGTAGAAAATAGTAAAAATAAAGAAAAACACTTAAATGAGTAGGTGTTCCAAAACTTTTGACCGGTAGTGTAGATTGGGCATGGATCAATTTACACTTGAGTAAAAGGTACAGTATTGAATGATATACAATGTCATGTCTATACAACATGCATGTACTTGGAAGTATAGGCTTGTGTTGTGTTTGATGCAGAACATGATCTCTTTGACAGGTGGTCCCAGCAGCCCTAGAGATGGCCATGGAGGAGGATGTGGACTTCAGACGAGGCCTGCCTGTGGATTACCTGACCTACATGGGGGTGCAGAACTCAGACAAGGTACTTCAGACACTACCGTTTACTTTCTCTGGTGTCCAATTGACCTCTGAGCACCCACTCTCAACAGGGGTGTGTCAGAAGGGTGAAACATTCAGAACGTTGAAGATGTAACGGATAGAGCTGACACCATTGCCTATTCCCCATGGCAAGGAAGAATGTCTGTTCTACACTATATACAGTGGGGAGAACAAGTATTTGATACACTGCTGATTTTGCAGGTTTTCCTACTTACAAAGCATGTAGAGGTCTGTAATTGTTATCATAGGTACACTTCAACTGTGAGAGACGGAATCTAAAATAAAAATCCAGAAAATCACATTGTATGATTTTTTAGTAATTACATTTTTTTTTTATTGCAAGACATAAGTATTTGATCACCTACCAACCATTAAGAAATCCGGCTCTCACAGACCTGTTAGTTTTTCGTTAAGAAGCCCTCCTGTTCTCCACTCATTACCTGTATTAACTGCACCTGTTTGAACTCGTTACCTGTATAAAAGACACCTGTCCACACACTCAATCAAACAGACTCCAACCTCTCCACAATGGCCAAGACCAGAGAGCTGTGTAAGGACATCAGGGATAAAATTGTAGACCTGCACAAGGCTGGGATGGGCTACAGGACAATAGGCAAGCAGCTTGGTGAGAAGGCAACAACTGTTGGCGCAATTATTAGAAAATGGAAGAAGTTCAAGATGACGTCAATCACCCTCGGTCTGGGGCTCCATGCAAGATCTCACCTCGTGAGGCATCAATGATCATGAGGAAGGTGAGGGATCAGCCCAGAACTACACGGCAGGACCTGGTCAATGACCTGAAGAGAGCTGGGACCACAGTCTCAAAGAAAACCATTAGTAACACACTACGCCGTCATGGATTAAAATCCTGCAGCGCACGCAAGGTCCCCCTGCTCAAGCCAGCGCATGTCCAGGCCCGTCTGAAGTTTGCCAATGACCATCTGGATGATCCAGAGGAGGAATGGGAGAAGGTCATGTGGTCTGATGAGACAAAAATATAGCTTTTTGGTCTAAACTCCACTCGCCGTGTTTGGAGGAAGAAGAAGGATGAGTACAACCCCAAGAACACCATCCCAACCGTGAAGCATGGAGGTGGAAACATCATTCTTTGGGGATGCTTTTCTGCAAAGGGGACAGGACGACTGCACCGTATTGAGGGGAGGATGGATGGGGCCATGTATCGCGAGATCTTGGCCAACAACCTCCTTCCCTCAGTAAGAGCATTGAAGATGTGTCGTGGCTGGGTCTTCCAGCATGACAACGACCCAAAACACACAGCCAGGGCAACTAAGGAGTGGCTCCGTAAGAAGTATCACAAGGTCCTGGAGTGGCCTAGCCAGTCTCCAGACCTGAACCCAATAGAACATCTTTGGAGGGAGCTGAAAGTCCGTATTGCCCAGCGACAGCCCCGAAACCTGAAGGATCTGGAGAAGGTCTGTATGGAGGAGTGGGCCAAAATCCCTGCTGCAGTGTGTGCAAACCTGGTCAAGACCTACAGGAAACGTATGATCTCTGTAATTGCAAACAAAGGTTTCTGTACCAAATATTAAATTCTGCTTTTCTGATGTATCAAATACTTATGTCATGCAAAAAAATGCAAATTAATTACTTAAAAATCATACAATGTGATTTTCTGGATTTTTGTTTTAGATTCTGTCTCTCACAGTTGAAGTGTACCTATGATAAAAATTACAGACCTCTACATGCTTTGTAAGTAGGAAAACCTGCAAAATCGGCAGTGTATCAAATACTTGTTCTCCCCACTGTGTGTGTGTGTATATATATATATATATATGAATGAACATTCTCTGTAACGTTGCACCATCTTGAAAGCCCTTGGTCTACCTGTGTGTGTATAGGAGGATCCACGCAGGGCGCAGTTCCTATCCAGAATAGAAGGGCTGATGAAGAAGCTAGTAACCTTTGCCCCTGTGGATGCTGCTGTTGATCAGAAAGCTAGGGACTTCTTCCACGACTGTCTACCCCCAATGCTCACCGCAGGTACCACATATCTTCTCCGCCCCCCCCCCCCCCCCCAAACAAAAAGGAACTCAGTCCGGCTTTGAAGTTACTCTTGAAAGTTGTAATAGTAGAATGCACAAGGTGCAATTTTGAAATTGGGTAGTGCATCATCAGTTTCTCCTGTCATGATTCAAATAACCAACTCATCATAATGCTTTGATTTTTTTGAATCAGCTGTGTAGTGCTAGGGCAAAAACCAAAATGTGGCCCCAGGGCCAAGTTTGGGAAACCCTGCTCTAGACCGCCATGTGGTCAGTGTAACTGATTCTAGTGATCATCCACAGAGGAGCGGGCCAGCAGTGTCCAGGGAGCTCATTCCAGGTGGGAGGACGGAGAGGCTGTGGATGTTGGTGTGACCATCAGGGGCCAGACCAGAGTCAGACTCATCCGTTCTGGAATCGCCAGGTAGATCTCAGACATGCAATAGCCCATGACTTACAAAAGCATAGCTCTTACAAAAACGTTTCCAGAAATGACCTTGACTTTTCTTTGTGCTGCTGCAGGTTATGCAGTGATGGAGAAGCAGTTTGGCTTTACTACACTGCAGACAACTCCAGAGTCTACCACAAAGAGGAGCCCAAGAGCATTGAAATAAAAACAGAGGTATGAATGATTGGGATCTGTAATTGCCTTGCTACTATAGCAGTGACGTGTGCCTGCCTGAGATGCTGCACTGCAGTGATGGCCTTTGTGTTCAACATGATGTAACTCTTTCAGCAAACAGACGGCATGGAGTTTCTGATCCATGCGTATCCAAAGTTTGTGACAGTGGGCAGCTTGCCATGCGAGTCGGCTGAGGACAAGGTATGTTTATCAACATGTTATGCAACATTGCTAAAACACGTACGCTGTCTTCTGCATAAAGTCCAGCCACATCTGTATGCCAGTAGTGTAGATATTTGGATGGTCGAGTTTTTATGCTATTCAGTGCTTGGGTCTGCACTGCAGTTTTCTTAGATGTAATTCTGTGCTCTCTTCCAGGTGTCCTTGGCCGAGCTGCTGTTTGAGAAAGGGCTTATTCACACTGCAGAACCTCTGCAGCGATCCTGAATCATGAAGGGACTCTAATACAAGTTTCACAAGAAATATCTGCTGCACCAGCATCATTCACCTCGCACTACGTGTAGGAATAATTGTTATCTGATTTTAGGACAGCAGTCGAATTAACTTGAGTAGTGCATCAGCATTGCCCTCTACAACTAACTCATCTAGACTCTTCAGAAACAATGGTGCAATGCTGGAACGCAATGATCAATCAAAAGTAATAGGTCTGTAATGTTACCCTTTACTTGTTCAGTAAGTATTGAATTAAAACCGTCTTGCATATTGGTGTGTAAATCAATCCTAGTGTGTGTGTGTTGCTAATGGAAGTACATTGTAATAGAAATGTCCAACTTCACATTATCGCTACAATTGTGTATACTTCATCACACAAATGATTGACTGGATGACAAAGGGACATATTTATTGGTCGATACAACCCTTAAAGATACAGAAACTTCTTATCGGCATACTTGATTTGAAGACCATCCAGAAAACATCATTCACACAACAGAAGATGTGACTTGGGCACAATAAATATTCCAGGTGATGGGTGGGTCTACTCCCAGGTGACTTCCTCACCTGGCTTCAGCTCCCTATACAGAAGGAAGAATATTCAGAGGACCGTTAGTACCCACTTAGATTATTGCTAAGAATGTATCCTTTCATATGAAGGCTAGATGCTGATGCCTGATTCACACCACAAGACCAAGCTGTACTGGGCCGGCCTGGTCTTGCATCTGCCATAGTTTCTGAAAAGGACAATGTGAAAAGAGAATATCCATGCAGGTATGGCTCGCCTCTATATTGTGAATCTGGTATTGGTGTGTGGGTGCAGATTTATAACTCACCTGCTGTACAATGCGCTTTTGTTCCTGAAAGCGGTCAGCTTCTGGTCCTGTGCTCTGTCCATGTAGATCCCGATCACAAAGCCAAGGGGAACAAATATGTTCACCCAATGGTCACGCATCAGGGCAGCAAAGTTCACCATGTTTCCTGTTGGGTGCAAAACACACAATAGGAGTTTACAGTATACTGTATGCAGCCACAACTCGTATATAATAAATATTTGGTGCAGCTATAACTGTGTGAGAGCATAATAAACTAGTATGTATGCCAGTCTGTTTCTGCTGTTAATTAGAACAGGTAGTCTCCTCTGTCTTCCGTAAACAAGCACTGTAACATGGAAATATGGCCATGTGGGAACCCTAACCATATAGAAAGGTGTGTATCAATGTAACCTTTCGTTTTTTGAAAATTATTTGCCATTATGAAAGATAAGGTCCTTATGCTTCCAAAACCGTACCGCAAGCGATGAGTGTTCATGTTCAGACCGAACATTGCGGCTCTTAACAACTACCCCCTCCAGAAGACGCCTTTCTCTATTTAATGACTCTGGACTCCAGCTGTTTATCTAGCAAGCAATTAAGCCTCGGTTCTTCCCACAATAATTCTACAGTATGTTGCGATTGCAAGATATACATTTGAAGTATTGCACGCACGGCTATAGAAATACATATAGCAAACTAAGAATTAACCTATAAAAAAGCATACAAAAGTGACATTTTACCTAGCCTTCAGCTTCTCTCGCTCATTGGGCTTCAGAGGACATTGGACCCTACCAACTGCTCTAAAATGGTGGTGTTAACTTGTAACGGTAAGTAATGAAGAATGCTTTTTCATTCAATATGGCTTGAACTTCAGAATATAAGAATTAGTCTGGAAGATCATTTTCATTTGAATGCTAAAACGAGTGCATTTCTTCTTTGACAGTAAAATTATTTATATTTACGCCGCCATAAATCTGATTATATGGTATCTCCCAGTGACCTTTGACATTTCAGCGGCAAACATGTCTGCTTCGATGAAAGAAGTGTGGACAATCGTTGCTAAAAATGTCATAATATTATAACGTTAGACTCTTCATGTTATTGAATTTTTTGCTCAGTTGAAGTTAAAACGTATATGGCACTTGATGGTATGTTACTCGTTAGTCTATTGCCCATTGTAATAGTAACATTTGCCTGCTAGCAAACTTAGCATGCTAGCTAACGTTAGCTAGCTGGGACTGCTAACAATGACTTTAGCTTGGGATCTCTTAACTAGTTAACGTTAGTCCTGTATGATAAATAGTGTTAATATGGCTAGTAAATCTTGAAACTGCTGTGAAGTTGTATCATGTCCGTACCATTTAGGGACCATGGCTGTTTACATTTTTCTGTTTACAATACATGCATGCCTCAGTCATATTGCTGCATGTGAAAGTGGTTCAAAATATAATCTTGTTAATAGCTTGTTAACTAATGGTTCTATGTCTCTGCAGTATGATAACTGAGGAAAATGACGTCTATTATCAAACTGACTGCTGTGTCAGGGGTGCAGGAGGAGTCTGCCCTCTGCTACCTGCTGCAGGTGGATGAGTTCCGCTTCCTCCTGGACTGTGGCTGGGATGAGAGCTTTTCCATGGACATCATTGATGCCATGAAAAGGTAGAAAGTCCCATCATAATCTAAGCCAGTAGTTCTCAATGGTGTACTTGGCATATCAAAAGGGAGTACTTGGGAAGACTCAGAACATAGGCCTAATGATTGGGTACACATCGGGCAGGGCAAAATGTTATTGGAGTTACGAATTGAGAATCTCTGATGTAAGCTATCTAGAAATCCCCACCACAGTCTTAATTGAATGGACTCCTAAAGTCAACAACTAGAACTTTCCCCAGTCAATCAGATCTCTAACGGGCCATTCCTTCTCCTCTCCAGGTATGTCCACCAGGTCGACGCGGTGCTCCTCTCCCATCCCGACCCCCTGCACCTGGGGGCCCTGCCCTACGCTGTGGGCAAGCTGGGCCTCAACTGCCCCATATACGCCACCATCCCCGTCTACAAGATGGGTCAGATGTTCATGTATGACCTGTATCAGGTGAGACAGAGGTGTGTTAACCTGGTCCCAGATCAGTTTGTGCTGTCTTGCCAACTCTGCAAGACAGCACAAACAGAACTGTGACCAGGCTAGGGGATGTATGCAATGTCCTATGCCAGCTCTCCCAAACTCGGTCCTGGGGACCCCAAGGGGTGCACGTTGTGTTTTTTGTCCTAGCACTAGACAGCTGATTAAAATAATCTAAGCTTGATGATTATTTCAATCAGCTGTGTAGTGCTAGGGCAAAAACCAAAAGGGGGGAAGTACAAGAGGTAACAATGCACTGTAAAACTATTCTCACTATTGTGATATGTTGTTTTGGTAGTCACGCAACAACACTGAGGACTTCAACCTGTTCACCCTGGATGATGTGGACTGCGCTTTCGACAAAATCCAGCAGTTGAAGTACTCCCAGATTGTCAATCTGAAAGGTCAGTAATCCATGTATCAGTGTTACATAATGACTCAATTATAATATATAATTTATATTGTGCTGAGTAATGTACTGTATCTGTTCAAACCATAACACTGGTCTACAGTAATCCATATTTCCTATTTGACAGGGAAAGGACATGGTCTGTCCAATTTCTATTGACTCCTGTTTTATTCATCTCTTTGTTCTAGCAAAAAACACTGGTTCAATTGACCTTTCTACTTTTTGTTGACAGGGAAAGGACATGGTCTGTCCATCACTCCACTTCCTGCTGGTCACATGATCGGAGGGACCATCTGGAAGATTGTGAAGGATGGGGAGGAGGAGATTGTTTACGCTGTGGACTTCAACCACAAAAGAGAGATGTGAGTAGAGAGAGGGAGATAGATGTGAGTAGAGGGGAAGAGAGAGATGTGAGTAGAGAGGAAGAGAGATGTGAGTAGAGGGGAAGAGGGATGTGAGGAGAGGGGAAGAGGTAGATGTGAGTAGAGGGGAAGAGGTAGATGTGAGGAGAGGGGAAGAGGTAGATGTGAGGAGGGGAAGAGAGATATGTGAGGAGAGGGGAAGAGAGAGTGAGGAGAGGGGAAGAGGTGGAGGAGGGTGAGAGGGAGGGAGGGGGAAGAGAGGGGTGTGGAGAGGGGAATGAGAGGTTTGAGAAGGGGAAGAGGTTTTAGGAGGGGGAAGAGTAGATGTGGGAGAGGGGAATTAGATGTGAGGAGAGGGAATGAGGTAATGTGAGGAGAGTGGGCATAAGGAGGGGGGAGATGGGAAGTAGATGTGAGTAGCGGGGGAAGAGGTAGGGAGGTAGATGTGAGGGGGGAAGAGGTAGATGTGAGGAGAGGGGAAGAGGTAGATGTGAGGAGAGGGGAAGAGGTAGGTGTGAGGAGAGGGGAAAGAGGTAGATGTGAGGAGAGGGGAAGAGGTAGATGTGAGTAGAAGGGAAAGAGAGTAGGGCCGTCCCCGACCTAAAAAAACAAGATATTGGTCGACCGAGAGTCGTCTGTTCTTTCGACCAATCAATTGGTCTAAATGTGATTTTACATTTACTTATACATCATTTAGCAGACGCTCTTATCCAGAGCGACTTACAATCATGTGTATTTTTCCATATATAGACACATCCTATGTGTTTTAATCAAATCAACTATATGCACTGAGCTTGTCTGATGCTTTAAGTGCACAGATGACTAGAGGGAGTCCGACTGCAATTTATTTGATTGTGCTGGGCTCAGACTTGCTGTGCTGTGTTAAAAAAAAAAAAGACAGCGAGTGACTGTGTGACTAGCACCCGTTGTCTCTCTCCTCCCTGCTGCAGTGACCACCACAGCATATCAACATGTTTATCATGCTGTCCGTGTTGCTGAACCTGCAAAATAATTACAGCCATTTCTGACTGAACAGTTCTGTTAACGAAATCCCTCATTTGTTTAGGAAAAACATTCCCTATTTCCTCAATCCTTGCTCTCTTTACGTGACACATGTATGCATCGCATGCACGTGACCAATAGGGCCTGACCTAATAGCATATCATAATCACATTAATAAATTGGTTATAACAAACTCTGAACACCGGAACGTATGTGACAGCAAAATGGATGCAGATGACGTGACAAACTGGAAACGGGGGAATGTTTACTGGTTGCTCAGGAGGTAAAGGGGAAGTCAGATGTGTGGAATAAATTTGACTAGTTGTGGAAAATACTGGCGATCAAGAAAAAGAAGGTAAGGATCAAGCGATGCGTGCATATTATGTGTGCCAAACAGGTGCTGTTAGATTACAATATAATTTTTCTGACCTTTTGGAACAACACTAAATAAATAATAAGCGTACCGTAGAGTCTGTACGTTTTATTACTTTTTTGGAAAGCCTTTATTACAGCAAAGACTAAAAACAGTCGCATGCATTCGTGAATGCAGTTACCAACATGGAATGGTTTATTTACTAATTATTCAAGGGTCGCTTTGTTATTTTAAAACTAAAATGCTTGATTGCATTTAAAGTCATGAATGACTCATGCTGTGTGATGACATGAATTATTGATTGATACAGTAGTAGCCTATATACATATTGGAATATAGGCCTAAGTTACAGTATTAAGTCTAAACAGGATGCGCTCTTAAACCTACAGCTCGATGGTGGTTATACAAGGCTGGTATACTAAGTCTACTAATGATAATGACAATGATGTAATGATGATCACAATAATAATAGTAATAATAACAATAAGAAGGAGAAGGAGGATTATTATTAATAATATTATTTTTCTAACAATCTGGAACAGTGTAAACAACACAAAATAAATCATAAATAATACCAGAGAGGCTGTTCTAACGAAAAGAAAAGTGTAAAGCCTTTATTACAGCATAGCAAAGATTAATAACAGCCAAATTCGTGAAATTGTTTATCAGACATGTTGTGGTTGCGTGAGGCTTGGTCCGCAAGGAATCAGTAGGCTATTAAACAAACACTCGAGATGTGAGAGGAGAGATGTGAGTAGAGGGGATAGAAAGAGAGAGATGTGAGTAGAGAGAAGGAGAGAGTTGTGAAAAGTGATAGAGATGAGTAGAGTGAGAGAGATGTGTGAGAGAGAGATGAGAGAGGGAAAGAGCATGTATTGTAGCTGCTGAAATGTATTTTTAAACTTTCTTAATGTTACCTCGTCACCAATTTGTTGGCCGTATTTTGTATGTTCTATTGGCTAGAGGAGAGGGGGAAAGATGGTTAGTGTTTTCTGTTTCTTTTCTCCAGCCACCTGAATGGGTGTACGTTGGAGTCGGTGAGTCGTCCCTCCCTCCTCATCACAGACTCCTTCAATGCTACATACGTGCAGCCGCGTCGCAAGCAAAGGGACGAGCAGCTCCTTAGTAAGTTAATCAACACTCAATCATCTGCAATCCTAGCCTGGTCACAGATATGTTTGTGCTGTCTTACCAACTCTTGTGGTCACTGGCACGTCATGACCAGCGGAGTTGGCCAGACAACACAAAGAGATCTGGGACCAGGCTACAGTAATACCTATCGGTTGAATCTTTAAAAAAATACTGATTGGCCAATCGTCCGTCCGCCCCCCCCCCCCCCCCTTCAGCCAATGTGATGGAGACCCTACGCGGCGACGGCAACGTGCTGATCGCGGTGGATACGGCAGGCCGTGTGCTGGAACTGGCTCAGCTGCTGGACCAGATCTGGAGGACGAAGGACGCTGGGCTGGGGGTCTACTCTCTGGCCCTGCTCAACAACGTCAGCTACAACGTGGTGGAGTTCTCCAAGTCTCAGGTCTGAGCAACACACATTCCCTTTCATGACATTTACGTCATTTAGCAGACGCTCTTATCCAGAGCGACTTACAAACTGGTGCATTCACCTTATAGCCAGTGGGATAACCACTTTACAATGTTTTTTTTTTTTTGGGGGGGGTTGGGGTAAGAGGGGGGTAGAAGGATTACTTTATCCTATCCCAGGTATTCCTTAAAGAGGTGGGGTTTCAAGTGTCTCCGGAAGGTGGTGAGTGACTCCGCTGTCCTGGCGTCGTGAGGGAGCTTGTTCCACCATTGGGGTGCCAGAGCAGCGAACAGTTTTGACTGGGCTGAGCAGGAACTGTGCTTCCGCAGAGGTAGGGGGGCCAGCAGGCCAGAGGTGGATGAAAGCAATGCCCTCGTTTGGGTGTAGGGACTGATCAGAGCCTGAAGGTACTGAGGTGCCGTTCCCCTCACAGCTCCGTAGGCAAGCACCATGGTCTTGTAGCAGATGCAAGCTTCAACTGGAAGCCAGTGGAGTGTGCGGAGGAGCGGGGTGACGTGAGAGAACTTGGGAAGGTTGAACACCAGACGGGCTGCGTCATTCTGGATGAGTTGTAGGGGTTTAATGGCACAGGCAGGGAGCCCAGCCAACAGCGAGTTGCAGTAATCCAGATGGGAGATGACAAGTGCCTGGATTAGGACCTGTGCCGCTTCCTGTGTAAGGCAGGGTCGTACTCTCCGAATGTTGTAGAGCATGAACCTACAGGATCGGGTCACCGCCTTGATGTTAGCGGAGAACGACAGGGTGTTGTCCAGGGTCACGCCAAGGCTCTTCGCACTCTGGGAGGAGGACACAACGGAGTTGTCAACTGTGATGGCGAGATCATGGAACGGGCAGTCCTTCCCCGGGAGGAAGAGCAGCTCCGTCTTGCCAAGGTTCAGCTTGAGGTGGTGATCCGTCATCCACACTGATATGTCTGCCAGACATGCAGAGATGCGATTCGCCACCTGGTTATCAGAAGGGGGAAAGGAGAAGATTAGTTGTGTGTCGTCTGCGTAGCAATGATAGGAGAGGCCATGTGAGGATATGACAGCCAAGTGACTTGGTGTATAGCGAGAATAGGAGAGGGCCTAGAACTGAGCCCTGGGGGACACCAGTGGTGAGAGCACGTGGTGCGGAGACAGCTTCTCGCCACGCCACTTGGTAGGAGCGACCGGTCAGGTAGGACGCAATCCAAGAGTGAGCCGCGCCGGAGATGCCCAGCTCGGAGAGGGTGGAGAGGAGGATCTGATGGTTCACAGTATCAAAGGCAGCAGACCGGTCTAGAATGACAAGAGCAGAGGAGAGAGAGTTAGCTTTAGCAGTGCGGAGAGCCTCCGTGACACAGAGAAGAGCAGTCTCAGTTGAATGACCAGTCTTGAAACCTGACTGGTTGGGATCAAGAAGGTCATTCTGAGAGAGATAGCAAGAGAGTTGGCAAAGACGGCACGCTCAAGAGTTTTAGAGAGAAAAGAAAGAAGGGATACTGGTCTGTAGTTGTTGACATCAGAGGGATCGAGTGTTGGTTTTTTGAGAAGGGGTGCAACTCTCGCTCTCTTGAAGACGGAAGGGACATAGCCAGCGGTCAAGGATGAGTTGATGAGCGAGGTGAGGTAAGGAAGAAGGTCACCGGAGATGGTCTGGAGAAGAGAGGATGGGATAGGGTCAAGCGGGCAGGTTGTTGGGCGGCCGGCCGTCACAAGTCGCAAGATTTTATCTGGAGAGAGAGGGGAGAAAGAAGTCAAAGCATAGGGTAGGGCAGTGTGAGCAGGACCAGCAGTGTCATTTGACTTAACAAACGAGGATTGGATGTCGTCAACCTTCTTTTCAAAATGGTTGACGAAGTCATCCACAGAGAGGGAGGAGGGGGGGGGGATTCAGCAGGGAGGAGAAGGTGGAAAAGAGCTTCCTAGGGTTAAAGGCAGATGCTTGGAATTTAGAGTGGTAGAAAGTGGCTTTAGCAGCAGAAACAGAATAATAAAATGTAGAGAGGAGTGAGTGAAAAGATGCCAGGTCTGCAGGGAGTCTAGTTTTCCTCCATTTCCGCTCGGCTGCCCGGAGCCCTGTTCTGTGAGCTCGCAATGAGTCATCAAGCCACGGAGCTGGAGGGGAGGACCGAGCCGGCCGGGAGGATGGGGGACATAGAGAGTCAAAGGATGCAGAAAGGGAGGAGAGGAGGGTTGAGGAGGCAGAATCAGGAGATTGGAGGGAGAAGGATTGAGCAGAGGGAAGAGATGATAGGATGGAAGAGGAGAGAGTAGCGGGAGAGAGAGAGCGAAGGTTGCGACGGCGCATTACCATCTGAGTAGAGGCAGAGTGAGTAGTGTTGGAGGAGAGCGAGAGAGAAAAGGATACAAAGTAGTGGTCGGGGAGTTGCAGTGAGATTAGTAGAAGAACAGCATCTAGTAAAGATGAGGTCAAGCGTATTGCCTGCCTTGTGAGTAGGGGGGGACGGTGAGAGGGTGAGGTCAAAAGAGGAGAGGAGTGGAAAGGAGGAGGCAGAGAGAAATGAGTCAAAGGTAGACGTAGGGAGGTTGAAGTCCCCCAGAACTGTGAGGGGTGAGCCATCCTCAGGAAAGGAACTTATCAAGGCGTCAAGCTCATTGATGAACTCTCCAAGGGAACCTGGAGGGCGATAAATGACAAGGATGTTAAGCTTAAATGGGCTAGTGACTGTGACAGCATGGAATTCAAATGAGGAGATAGACAGATGGGTCAGGGGAAAAATAGAGAATGTCCACTTGGGAGAGATGAGGATTCCTGTGCCACCACCCCGCTGACCAGATGCTCTCGGGGTATGCGAGAACACATGGTCAGACGAGGAGAGAGCAGTAGGAGTAGCAGTGTTTTCAGTGGTAATCCATGTTTCCGTCAGCGCCAAGAAGTCGAGGGACTGGAGGGTAGCATAGGCTGAGATGAACTCTGCCTTGTTGGCAGCAGAACGGCAGTTCCAGAGGCTGCCTGAGACCTGGAACTCCACGTGGGTGGTGCGTGCAGGGACCACCAGGTTAGAGAGGCAGCAGCCACGCGGTGTGAGGCGTTTGTATAGCCTGTGCGGAGAGGAGAGAACAGGGTTAGACAGAGGCATAGTTGACAGGCTACAGAAAATGGCTACAATAATGCAAAGGAGATCGGAATGAAATTAACTAAACATCTGGGAAAGGAGAGAGCGGGGCCTCCCTCACCAGCGGGGCCTCCCTCACCACAACATCCAAATATAACTCTCCCAACTTCCACCTCAGAAACTATAATTTTTGTAAACTACAGCAGTTCAATGTTTTGTAGGAATAGACTAACTTAGTTTATTCAGCTAGCTAACTTGGTACAGTATTCTTCCGTGAAAATCGTCCAGGGCACCTAGTCATAAGACGCCACAGCCAGCTAGCATGCCGGACTCCAACAACACGGTTTAGCACCAATACTCGGCCACAACAAACCACCAGTGTGTCAACACGCCAAGCAGATCATTCGTGTCCGTGTCTAACGTTGTGGGTTAGTCCCGACAGCTTGAGCGAGTCCGTCGTCAACATGACCATACAGTACCAGACAAATCTGAGTGTGTGCTTCAGCTGCCTGGAGTGCCAGATGGGTGGGATTTGCATTGGTTCAGTTGCATCATGCGAGCACAGCTAAAAAGTATTTGAAAGATCTCAAATGTTTTTACCCAGGTCCAGTACCATATACACTTCTGTTCAAAAGTTTTGGGTCACTTAGAAATGTCCTTGTTTTCGAAAGAAAAGCAATTTTTTTGTAGATTAAAATAACATCAAATTGATCCGAAATACAGTGTAGACACTGTTAATGTTGTAAATGGCTATTGTAGCTGGAAACCGCTGATTTAATGGAATATCTACATAGGCGTACAGAGGCCCATTATCAGCAACCATCAGTCCTGTGTTCCAATGGCACGTTGTGTTTGCTAATCCAAGTTTATCATTTTAAAAGGCTAATTGATCATTAGAAAACCCTTTTGCAATTCTGTTAGCACAGCTGAAAACTGTTGTGCTGATTAAAGAAGCAATAAAACTGGCCTTCTTGAGACTAGTTGAGTATCTGGAACATCAGCAATTGTGGGTTCGATTACAGGCTCAAAATGGCCAGAAACAAGGAACTTTCTTCTGAAACTCGTCAGTCTATTCTTGTTCTGAGAAATGAAGGCTATTCCATGCGAGAAATTGCCAAGAAACTGAAGATCTCGTACAACGCTGTGTACTACTCCCTTTACAGAACAGCGCAAACTGGCTCTAACCAGAATAGAAAGAGGAGTGGGAAGCCCCTGTGCACAACTGAGCAAGAGGACAAATACAGTAGTGTCTAGTTTGAGAAACAGACGCCTCACAGGTCCTCAACTGGCAGCTTCATTAAATAGTACCCGCAAAAAACCAGTCTCAACATCAACAGTGAAGAGGCGACTCCGGGATGCTGACCTTCTAGGCAGAGTTGCAAAGAAAAAGCCATATCTCAGACTGGCCAATAAAAAGAAAAGATTAAGATGGGCCAAAGAACATAGACACTGGACAGAGGAAGATTGGAAAAAAGTGTTATGGACAGACGAATCGAAGTTTGAGGTGTTCGGATAACAAAGAAGAACATTTGTGAGACGCAGACCAAATGAAAAGATGCTGGAGAGTGCTTGATGCCATCTGTCAAGCATGGTGGAGGCAATGTGATGGTCTGGGGGTGCTTTGGTGGTGGTAAAGTGGGAGATTTGTACAGGGTAAAAGGGATCTTGAAGAAGGAAGGCTATCACTCCAGCCAATTTCCTCCTACAACAGGACAATGACCCAAAGCACAGCTCCAAACTATTCAATAACTATTTAGGGAAGAAGCAGTCAGCTTGTATTCTGTCCATAATGGAGTGGCCAGCACAGTCACCGGATCTCAACCCTATTGAGCTGTTGTGGGAGCAGCTTGACCGTGTGGTACGTAAGAAGTGCCCATCAAGCCAATCCAACTTGTGGGAGGTGCTTCAGGAAGCATGGGGTGAAATCTCTTCAGATTACGTCAACAAATTGACAACTAGAATGCCAAAGGTCTGCAAGGCTGTAATTGCTGCAAATGGAGGATTCTTTGACGAAAGCTTGAAGGACACAATTATTATTTATATTTAAAAATCATTATTTCTAACCTTGTCAATGACTACATTTTCCTATGCATTTTGCTATATTTCCTATTCAAACTCATTTAATGTATGTTTTAATGGAAAACAAGGACATTTCTAAGTGACCCCAAACTTTTGAGCGGTAGTGAACATATGTGTGCTTATATTCACTTTTCAATTGTGCTCACTACTCATTCATGTGGGGTTTCATTTGTAACACGTTTGTAACATGCTGTGTCTTTTGAAAGATAGTAAAATGTTTGCATTTTGTGGCATGGAATTAATCTTTTTCCCAAAATGTAGCATGTCACAAACGGTAGCCCATACAGTCTGTGTCGCATCACTCTGTCATTGTAATAGGCATGGTAACAGTATTCGTGACTCTGTTATATTCTCCCCTACAGGTGGAGTGGATGAGTGACAAGCTGATGCGCTGCTTCGAAGACAAGCGCAACAACCCCTTCCAGTTCCGCCACCTGTCCCTCTGCCACAGCCTGGCCGACCTGGCCCGCGTGCCCAGCCCCAAGGTGGTGCTCTGCAGCCAGCCCGACCTGGAGTCTGGCTTCTCCCGCGAGCTCTTCATCCAATGGTGTCAGGACGCCAAGAACTCTGTGATCCTTACCTACCGTACCACACCTGGCACCCTGGGCCGCTACCTCATCGACAACCCCGGGGAGAAGATGCTGGACCTGGAGGTGAAACTATAAGAGAAGGCTTTAGGGAAGAAGAGCGGCCATGTTGGCTCAGAGTTTTGGATTGATCTGTTTTAGTGCAGCGTGTCCATATGGCTCTTCCTGTCTCAACTCAAGCGTGGAAACAGCTTGATGTGTCACACTGGCTTTCTCAACACCCCCCTTCCCCTTCATTTATTTTTCTTGTCATGTTGACAGATTAGGAAACGGGTGAAGCTGGAAGGCAGGGAGCTGGAAGAATACCTGGAGAAAGAGAGAATGAAGAAGGAAGCTGCCAAAAAACTTGAAGAAGAAAAAGAGTGAGTCACTGACACTTTCTTTATTTCTGGCCTGTTCATATTTACAATACTACAGCACTGTGAATAATATTCTTCCAGGTGGGTTAGTGGTATTGTTTAGCTGTTTTCTGTGTGTTTGTATGTGTGCGCACAAATTTAATTTCAGTCATTTAGTAGACGCTCTTATACAGAGCAACTAACAGTGCATCCATTTTAAGGTAACTAGGTGAGACCACCACATAACAGCACAGTTGGTGTCCATGAATGAAGATGTGTTTGTCTTTGTGGTGACAAAACACAGCGAGATTGTGCGTGTCTAATATATTTGTGTCTATCTCAGGGTGGACTTGGACTCGAGTGACGAGAGCGACATGGAGGATGACCTGGAGCTGCCAGCGGTAGTGAAGACCAAACACCACGACCTCATGATGAAGGGAGACGGCGTCCGCAAGGGCAGCTTCTTCAAACAGGCCAAGAAGTCCTACCCCATGTTCCCCACCCACGAGGAGAGGGTCAAATGGGACGAGTACGGGGAGATCATCAGGTACTGGAGTCAGTGAAGTAGTATTATGGAGCGATCATCAGGTTCTGGAGTCAGTGAACTAGTATTATGGAGCGATCATCAGGTTCTGGAGTCAGTGAACTAGTATTATGGAGCGATCATCAGGTTCTGGAGTCAGTGAACTAGTATTATGGAGCGATCATCAGGTTCTGGAGTCAGTGAACTAGTATTATGGAGAGATCAGGTACTGTAGTCAGTGTACTAGTATTATGGAGAGATCAGGTACTGTAGTCAGTGTACTAGTATTATGGAGAGATCAGGTAACGTAGAAACCTTTTGGATAATGAGCTCTAGCTATGCATTGGATTTGTTGTTGTAGCAGCTCCAGATGAGGTCACACAATAAGGTACTAATGAATGACTGTCTGTCTCCAGACCGGAGGACTTCCTGGTACCAGAGCTCCAGGCCACAGAGGAGGAGAAGAACAAGCTGGAGTCGGGCATGGCCAACGGGGACGAACCCATGGACCAAGACTCCTCATCCAAAGTACCCACCAAGTGTACCTCCACTACAGAGAACCTAGAGATCAAGTAAGTGGGCTCCACCCACCTAAATGTAGAGCAGACGTATTCAGAGCCTCTCACTGCACAAATCATTCTGATATATATTCTAATGACTTACAAGGAAGGAAAAATGTACGTTTGTGATTTTAATTATACTTGTGGACATGCCAAGACTATAAAGTAATTTTTTATTTGCGCAAAATATGAATAGTGCCTTATTATCTTTTTCTAATATGATCCTATAAATAATTGTTTTGACACACGTTTTATCTTAATAATGCATATTTGAAATATTGAGAAATGATCAATTCTGGTCTGATCTTCCTGTGCAGAGCTAGAGTGACGTACATCGACTACGAGGGCCGCTCGGACGGCGACTCCATCAAGAAGATCATTAACCAGATGAAGCCGCGGCAGCTGGTGATCGTGCACGGGCCCCCCGAGGCCAGCCTGGACCTGGCCGAGTCCTGCAAGGCCTTCACCAAGGACATCAAGGTCTACACGCCGAAGCTGCAGGAGACTGTAGACGCCACCAGTGAGACACACATCTACCAGGTAGAATGTCATACATAAGTCCATGCTCATGCAGGATATTTTTTGACAGATTTTTTTTTACTAATGCCCTGTGAATAATTGAAGCCATTGATATATATTTTTATGTTATCACAATTCACCAGTCAGAAAGTTGATGTGCTTTAGTAACTGTTACTGTAACTAATCAAACCCAGGTCAAGCCATCTTAGAATTCTGGACCAGACAATGGATCAATTGTGTATAAGGTTTATAATAATATTATAATATATGCCATTTAGCAGACGCTTTTATCCAAAGTGACTTCCAGTCAGGCGTGCATAAATATTACGTATGGGTGGTCCCGGGAATCAAACCCACTATCTTGGCGTTGCAAGCACCATGCTTTACCAACTGAGCTACAGGAGCAGTTTATTTGTGTGCAGAAACGTATAGAAACATGTAAACGTTGAGCTTAACCACTTTCTGTCGTATGTACATAAGATGTTGTATTCTTCTTCCCCAGGTGCGATTGAAAGACTCACTGGTGAGCTCGCTGCAGTTCTGCCGCGCCAAGGACACAGAGCTGGCGTGGATCGACGGTGTACTTGACATGCGTGTGGTCAAGGTGGACACAGGCGTGCTGCCCGAGGAGGGCGTAGTGAAAGGCGAGGAGGTTGTTGAAGACAGCGAGCTGGCCATGGACGTGACCCCTGCTGACCACGCCACAACGGACCATAGCGTGGTTGCGCAGCAGCGCGCCATGAAGACGTTGTTTGGCGAGGACGTGCGCGAGCCGTCAGAGGAGAGTGATGTCATCCCCACCCTGGAGCCCCTGCCCGCCCACGAGGTGAGAGAGAGCGCTGGCCCCATGGGGAGAGGGAGAGAGAGCGCTGGCCCCATGGGGAGAGGGAGAGAGAGCGCTGGCCCCATGGGGAGAGAGAGCGCTGGCCCCATGGGGAGAGGGAGAGAGAGCGCTGGCCCCGGGGGAGAGGGAGAGAGAGCGCTGGCCCCGGGGGAGAGGGAGAGAGAGCGCTGGCCCCGGGGGAGAGGGAGAGAGAGCGCTGGCCCCGGGGGAGAGGGAGAGAGAGCGCTGGCCCCGGGGGAGAGGGAGAGGGAGCGCTGGCCCCGAGGGAGAGGGAGCGCTGGCCCCGGGGGAGAGGGAGAGGGAGAGAGAGCGCTGGCCCCGGGGGAGAGGGAGAGAGAGCGCTGGCCCCGGGGGAGAGGAAGAGAGAGCGCTGGCCCCGGGGGAGAGGGAGAGAGAGCGCTGGCCCCGGGGGAGAGGGAGAGATGCGCTGGCCCCAGAGGGAGAGCTGGCCCCCAGGGGGAGAGAGAGACAACAGAGTTGATCCCATGACTTTTTTATTCAGAGGGGGAAATGATGGGTTCACCTTGTTGGTAAACAGAGAACAATAGGAGAATAGAAACAGAGAGCAGCAGAATGGACAGGAAGGAAGCTAGCCTGTGGTTAATTCAGCAAGAGAGAGAAGGGAGTGCACAGATGTCAATACATCTTCAGCATCTTAATCTTTACCAAAACTAAGGTGAAAATGTTATGGTAAACATTGTGATCAACCACATTTTGATTTCCATATTTCAAAATGAATTAATTATAATATGGTCAAAACTAATGAGATCAGAAGCTGTGTAGTTGTGGTTGCACTTATCCACAGAGAGTCAAACTGATGTGAGATCAGATTTACCAGTATATTAACTGTATGTTTGTTGTTCCACAGAGTGCATTCAGTCCAACTGATCTAAGATCAGAGGTGCATTCAACAAGGGAAATAGTTTGCAAACGTTAGCTAACATATTCCATTTACACTGAGCAAAAATATAAACGCAACATGTAAAGTGTTGGGCCCATGTTTCATGAGCTGAAATAAAAGATTCCAGAAATATTCCATACGCACAAAAAGCTTATTCCTCTCAAATGTTGTGCACAAATTTGTTTACATCCCTCTTAGTGAGCATTTCTCCTTTGCCAAGATAATACATCCACCTGACAGGTGTGACATATCAAGACGCTGATTAAACAGCATGATCATTACACAGGTGGACCCTGTGCTGGGGACAATAAAAGGCCACTCTAAAATGTGCAGTTTTGTTACAACACAATGCCACAGATTTCTCAAGTTTTGAGGGAGTGTGCAAGTGGCATGCTGACTGCAGGATGATTGTCCACCAGAGCTGTTGCCAGAGAATTGAATGTAAATTTCTCTACCATAAGCCGCCTCCAACAATGTTTACCATAAGCTACCTTCAATGTCCAACCGGCCTCACAACCACAGACCACGTTTATGGCGTTGTGAGGGCGAGCGGTTTGCTGATGTCAACGTTGTGAAGAGTGCCGCATGGTGGCGGTGGGGTTATGGTATGGGCAGGCATAAGCTACGAACAACGAACACAATTGCATTGTATCGATGGCAATTTGAATGCACAGGAATACCGTGACAAAATCCTGAGGCCCATTTTTTTTTTTTACATATCTGTGACCAACAGATTCATATCTGTATTCCCAGTCGTGAAATCCATAGATTAGGGCCTAATGAATTTATTTCAATTGACTGATTTCCTCATATAAACTGTAACTCAGTAAAATCTTTGAAATTGTTGCATGTTGCGTTTAATTTTTTGAGACGGTAGTGTGCGACAAACGTGTCTGTTTCTGGTCTAAACTGCCGTTACAAATAATCATGTAGTCATGTATAAGTAATAGCAAAGTGATTTACAGTTTGATTATTGCCTGTAAAATGCCACAGTAATCCTTACAAAAAATGTGCTGTTCAATGTTTTACCATAACATTTTGGAATATCCATTCAAATCGTTCAACTGAAATTGTTACTAAGTAACATGTTCGCCGCAAACAGAAGCCTTGTTAAACTCACCTCTGATGTATAGCGACTGTATGGTTTTAGTTCCACAGAGTCCCAATGGTCTGGGATCAGGTGTATAGAAAGAAGATGTGGTTCTAAACCATGCACACCCTGTCTAACTCACAGATCCCAGGCCACCAGTCAGTGTTTATCAACGAGCCGCGCCTGTCCGACTTCAAGCAGGTGCTGCTGAGGGAGGGCATTCAGGCTGAGTTTGTGGGAGGAGTGCTGGTGTGTAACAACATGGTGGCTGTCCGCAGGGTGAGTTTTCCATCCGTCTGTCACCCCCCCCCCCCAACACACAGTATGGTTATTCATTCAGCTCTGTATTCATTCTGCACCAACTCAGTGGCCTTGTGGTTAGTGTCTGCCCTGAGGTTGGGAGTTCGATCCTCGGCCGAGTCATACCAAAGTCTCTGCTTGGCACTCAGCATTAAGGAGATAGATTGGGGGTAAGGCCCTGTGATAGACTAGCGTCCTGTCCAGGGGGTGTACATGAACATCAAGCTGCCACGCTACACAAATAGGAGATAGGCTCCTGCTCACTAGCCAAGGCTCCTTCCATTCAGCTCTCTTGACAGCATAAGCCAACCCCTTCCCTGACCTGCTACATGAGAAAGGGTAAATAAACCCAAAGGGTGCATGGGGTGGCCTGTTTGTCAACAAAATGACCTATTGTATATGTACAGTGGGGAGAACAAGTATTTGACACACTGCCGATTTTTGCAGGTTTTCCTACTTACAAAGCATGTAGAGGTCTGTAATTGTTATCATAGGTACACTTCAACTGTGAGAGACGGAATCTAAAACAAAAATCCAGAAAATCACATTGTATGATTTTTAAATAATGAATTTGCATTTTATTGCATGACATAAGTATTTGATCACCTACCAACCAGTAAGAATTCCGGCTCTCACAGACCTGTTAGTTTTTCTTTAAGAAGCCCTCCTGTTCTCCACTCATTACCTGTATTAACTGCACCTGTTTGAACTCGTTACCTGTATAAAAGACACCTGTCCACACACTCAATCAAAGAGACTCCAACCTCTCCACAATGGGCAAGACCAGAGAGCTGTGTAAGGACATCAGGGATAAAATTGTAGACCTGCACAAGGCTGGGATGGGCTAAAGGACAATAGGCAAGCAGCTTGGTGAGAAGGCAACAACTGTTGGCGCAATTATTAGAAAATGGAAGAAGTTCAAGATGACGGTCAATCACCCTCGGTCTGGGGCTCCATGCAAGATCTCACCTCGTGGGACATCAATGATCATGAGGAAGGTGACGGATCAGCCCAGAACTACACGGCAGGACCTGGTCAATGACCTGAAGAGAGCTGGGACCACAGTCTCAAAGAAAACCATTAGTAACACACTACGCCGTCATGGATTAAAATCCTGCAGCGCACGCAAGGTCCCCCTGCTCAAGCCAGCGCATGTCCAGGCTGTCTGAAATTTGCCAATGACCATCTGGATGATCCAGAGGAGGAATGGGAGAAGGTCATGTGATCTGATGAGACAAAAATAGAGCTTTTTGGTCTAAACTCCACTCGCCGTGTTTGGAGGAAGAAGAAGGATGAGTACAACCCCAAGAACACCATCCCAACCGTGAAGCATGGAGGTGGAAACATCATTCTTTGGGGATGCTTTTCTGCAAAGGGGACAGGACGACTGCACCGTATTGAGGGGAGGATGGATGGGGCCATGTATCGCGAGATCTTGGCCAACAACCTCCTTCCCTCAGTAAGAGCATTGAAGATGGGTCGTGGCTGGGTCTTCCAGCATGACAACGACCCGAAAACACACAGCCAGGGCAACTAAGGAGTGGCTCCGTAAGAAGCATCTCAAGGTCCTGGAGTGGCCTAGCCAGTCTCCAGACCTGAACCCAATAGAAAATCTTTGGAGGGAGCTGAAAGTCCGTATTGCCCAGCGACAGCCCCGAAACCTGAAGGATCTGGAGAAGGTCTGTATGGAGGAGTGGGCCAAAATCCCTGCTGCAGTGTGTGCAAACCTGGTCAAGACCTACAGGAAACATATGATCTCTGTAATTGCAAACAAAGGTTTCTGTACCAAATATTAAGTTCTGCTTTTCTGATGTATCAAATACTTATGTCATGCAATAAAATGCAAATTAATTACTTAAAAATCATACAATGTGATTTTCTGGATTTTTGTTTTAGATTCCGTCTCTCACAGTTGAAGTGTACCTATGATAAAAATTACAGACCTCTACATGCTTTGTAAGTAGGAAAACCTGCAAAATCGGCAGTGTATCAAATACTTGTTCTCCCCACTGTATCTAACTTGAATTTAATTGAAAAGCAATTCTTATTTATTTACAAGAATGCTCCGGGGAAGGAACGATGACGCGGAAACGACACCATCAATTTTATTCAGAGTTGGCGATTAGCAGTATGCAGTCTGAAGAGCCAAGACTTTAACCTATGTGCCAACAAACCATTTCTGTTTGTGTACAAAAGTCAGCACCACTCAATCTCCATTTCGCATCTACTTGTGACCCCTCTAACCCTAGTCTCCTCTCCTCTCCTGTACAGACGGAGGCTGGGCGCATCGGCCTGGAGGGATGCCTATGTGATGACTACTATAAGATACGTGAGCTGCTCTATCAGCAGTATGCTGTGCTGTAGGAGAGAGGAGGAGCAGAGATGGTGTCAGCCATGACAGTATCACACAGACATTCCGTTAGGAGGAGAAGGGATGGAGAGGAGAGAGGACTATTACCCAGAGGACCACGGGGTTCTAGGTGTTCTCCACACACAGGCTACCTGAGCTCCCCTCCGGAGTCTCTCCAGCTGTTTGACTTCCAACCGCAATGTTGATTTGTCCTTTTTTCCCCCCTTTAAAAATCTGTTTACTGTTATGTTTGTTGTGCGTCTTTCCCCCCCGCAGTGAGAGACAGATGGGCTCTTCTGGAGTGACCTCTTGATGCGAACACATGATGTGCGAACGAACGATAACCCTTAGGGTCATTTTTACCTCTCCTCAAGCCCCCTCGGCTCTGGACTAGACTGGCTGGCGAGGCGAAAGCTCACCACTGGAGAGTCCCAACATCGTTCCACATAGGCTGGAATGGTTTATCAGTGTATCTGTTTTTTTTGTTTCTCATTAAAGCTGCAATATGTAACTTTTCGGGGCGACCCGACCAAATTCACATAGAAATTGAAGTTTTAGATCTGTAATTCTCATTGAAAGCAAGTCTAAGAATTGCTAGATCTGTTCTATTTCTATGCTTCCCGTTCTTACGTTTTGTTTTTGCATCTTTTACTTTCGGATTCGTACACCAGCTTTAAAGATATTTCACAGTGGTTTAAATGGTACAATGATTCTCTACACTATACATTGCTTGTTTGGTCACATAAACTGAAATTAGGAAAACGATTAGAATTTATGCAACCAGGAAAGGGTGGAGCGATTACTGCATATTGCACCTTTTTAAATTCCCTGTTCTGAACAAATAAATTGGTTTGTTTCCTATATGTTTTGCCGTGGGTTGAGAGAGGGGAACGAGACATGTATATTCTGCACGCAGGGTTGGGGTCCATTTAAATTCAGTCAATTCAGGAAGTAAACTGTGTTTCAATGAGGTCCGTATTTTTTTGATTTTATTTTTTTTGATTTTCAGTTTAATTCCTGAATTGATTAAATGGAAATGGAATTGCCTGTATGTAGGCTAGTATCATTACAGGGGCTTTGTTATACTGTACTGCTGCAGTGACGGTGGGGTAACACCAGATGGAGACATTTTTCAGCCATTCTGTCCACCTCACATTCCCTTAATCAAATGTGTTCACACAGTGGCAATTCCAGGTTAGAGATGACATTGTCCCTGCAGTGATATCTTGATAAATTAGTATAATTCACTGTCATGTCAATAACACGCTAGAATAGTCCATTCTCTCATGCTTGTATTTCAGGTAACTGAAATCGGGTTTCTTATGAGACAGAGGAAAGTTAAAATGGATTTTAAAATGGCTCGCTGGTTTGTGTTGTTTTCTAATCCACATATAAGGTCAATGTTGTTATCCCTGTGAAGTTTAAATGAACCATTGTATCAGGAGGCTTGGTGTGTGTGTGTGTGTGTGTGTGTGTGTGTGTGTACAGTAGACCTATGTGTCCTAGATGGCACCCTAATTCCTTTAAAGTGCACTACTTTTAGCCCTATGGTGAAAAGTAGTGCACTATAAAGGGAGTAGGGTGCCTGTGTGTGTGGGGCTGTATGGGGGTGTTAGTGTTGTGACAGGGATGATTCTAGGGAGGGAGCTTTTTTCTGCTAGGGCGTGGCTTGTCACTGGCTGATATCCGCTGCTGCAGCAGTGGGGGGCACATCGTATCGGCTGATTTGCGTTCGCAGGCAGGCAGCGTTGTGCTAATCCCCAGGGTGGGCCCTAGACCAGCCGTCCCTTCCACATGGTCACTGCCGTGGCTCTACCCACCACAACAAAGCACCGCCCTACCTCACACACACACTCTCTCACGCTCAATGACGTCACACCAACCTCCGTCCTGTCGGCTAGTAGACCACCGAACTCCGCCCCCACGTATGACCCCGCAGCCAATCAGAGGACGGTGGGCGATAAACACACTAGCCAGGGTGGGCCGAGAGAGATAGATAGAGGGGTCATGGATGGAGGGAGTTATAGGCATATGCAGCATGGACGGCTGGCCCACTGACATGCGGCTGGGACAGTTTTATACAGGACAGTTATGTAACATACAGTTTTGCACTTTAGAAACATTAAAATTTAAATGCCCTTTTTTATAATCCATGGCACAGGCACACACACACACAAAAAACTTGTGAACGTCAGTAACCCCTTCTGTGACAGTGAGATGGAGAGAGAGGTAAACAGAGAAAAGGAGACGGATGAACAGAGAGAGAGATAGAGGCTCCTCTGTGCCACAGGGCATGCCAGGCCTGCCCAGTCACTGCTTTTCATTTTGATAATTGACGGCGGGAACGCCAGAAATGTCCATCAGCGTAATCCTCTTAGATTTCATAATGCTGACTCTGTCACAGAAGCCCCTGTTTTAATGTAACGAGCAGCTAAGCCTGCCTATCGTGTCCATGGGACATCATGAGTCGCTCTGCCACCTCGGTCCACTAAGACCCCGGAGCCAGGGAGGAGACATGCGGGTTCTGCGCCCTGACTGCATCCAAAATGGCACCGTATTTCCTATATAGTGCACCAGAGCCTTATTGGCCCTTGTAAAAGTAGGAAATAGGCTGCCATATGGGACAAAGGCCCTTTCTCCCCTACTCACTCAACAAGTGCCCTTATAATCTATCCTGAGATCAGGTTAAATTAGTCAAGTCACTGTTGTTGTGTTCCTGATTTATGTGCACCATGGGGTGGAAGGACAAGAGAGGATATTAGGACAAACGCAAAGTCCCATCTACTGTATGTATACCTATTCATAGCTTCTCTCTCTCTCTCTCTCTCTCTCTCTCTCTCTGTACTAGGCTGACCACTTAATGCTGCCAGTGACATCAATGGAATAATGTGAAAGAGGAGTGGTTTTCTAGGAAACAGAATGTTCTAAGCATAACATATGGCACAGACATACAAAGCAAAATCCCATTCCAGCTTTCATTGGGCTCCAGAAGGTATGAACAGTTTCATGTGGGTGTGAAACATCCCTGGTTTCCTGCATGCGGGTAGGAGGAGGAGGGATCCACTCCCTTTCTCTCTCCTCCCCTCCCTCTCCCCTCCCTTCTCTCTCCATCCCCTCCCTCTCACCTCTCTCTCCCTCTGTCTCTAGATCTTTAATTCCCCCTCGACTCCATGAGGCTGGGTAATCCCCCTATGCCAGCGTCTTCCTGCGGTAATGGCCCTCTGCAGGGGAGCTAGTCATGCCCACTCACTTGTAAAACAAACATGGAGGGGCTGGGCTGGCTCGGGGCTGCATGGCTGGGGGTGCTGGGGATGCAATGGGCTGAGCATCCTCTGAATTACACCATTACTGAGGTGATCCTCTTACGCAACCTGCTCCTCACACTGGCCTACAATGCAAGGCAGGCGATCCCTGTGAGCACAAATCCATCCACAAAGGCAGGCAGCTCGCTGCCAGATTATCCCAGGGGCCAATCATACAGACAGCTGCCATGTTGCCTTTGTGATAAGACAATGGTGCTTTTTGTTGTTTGTTTGCATTTGTGAATGGAGGACAAAGGGCTGGGTGATCGAGATGATGGAGCTATGGATGAGATACAGCTGATCGTTTGTGTGTGTGTGTGTGTGACTGTCTGGATGTTACCCTAGCCTAGCTCCCACTGTCATGTAGTTACAGCTAAAGTCAGCAGAATGAGACCTGGCTCTCCGGCTCATCTTAATCAGCCTACGTCAGTGGGAAAGAGCATTATCTGATTTGACATGCCTGACAATGCCGTGAAAATAGCTATGATGCTGGTGATGATGGTCATGATTAATTGAATTTCGGTGACAAGAGGAGTGGGGCTGTAAGGGTTCAGTGTGCGTCCCCAATGGCACCCTATCCCCTATATAGTACACTACTTTTGACCAGGGCCCATTGGGCTCTGAACAAAAGTAGTGCACTATGTACAGTTGAAGTCGGAGGTTTACATACACCTTAGCCAAATACATTTAAACTCCGTTTTTCACAATACCTGACATTTAATCCTAGTAAAAATTCCCTGTCTTAGGTCAGTTAGGATCACAACTTTATTTTAAGAATGTGAAATGTCAGAATATTAGTAGAGAGAATTATTTATTTCAGCTTTTATTTCTTTCATCACATACCCAGTCGGTCAGAAGTTTACATACACTCAATTAGTATTTGGTAGCATTGCCTTTAAATTGTTTAACTTGGGTCAAACATTTTGTGTTGCCTTCCACAAGTTTCCCACAATAAGTTGGGTGAATTTTGTCCCATTCCTCCTGACAGCGCTGGTGTAACTGAGTCAGGTTTGTAGACCTCCTTGCTCGCACACGCTGTTTCAGTTCTGCCCACAAATGTTCTATAGGATTGAGGTGAGGGCTTTGTGATGGCCACTCCAATACCTTGACTTTGTTGTCCTTAAGCCATTTTGCCACAGCTTTGGAAGTATGCTTGGGGTCATTGTCCATTTGGAAGATCCATTTGTGACCAAGCTTTAACTTCCTGACTGATGTCTTGAGATGTTGCTTCAATATATCCACATCATTTTCCTTCCTCATGTTGCCATCTATTTTGTGAAGTGCACCAGTCCCTCCTGCAGCAAAGCACCCCCAGAGCATGATGCTGCTACCGCCATGCTTCACGGTTGGGATGGTGTTCATTGGCTTGCAAGCAACCCCCTTTTTCCTCCAAACATAACGATGGTCATTATAGCCAAACAGTTATATTTTTGTTTTCTCCAAAAAGTACGATCTTTGTCCCCATGTGTAGTTGCAAACCGTAGTCTGGTTTTTTATGGTGGTTTTGGAGCAGTGGCTTCTTCCTTGCTGAGCAGCCTTTCAGGTTAGGTCAATATAGGACTCGTTTTATTGTGGATATAGATACTTTTGTATCTGTTTCCTCCAGCATCTTCACAAGGTCCTTTGCTGTTGTTCTGGGATTGATTTGCACTTTTCACACTAAAGTACGTTCATCTCTAGGAGACAGAACGCATCTCCTTCCTGAGCGGTATGATGGCTGCGTGGTCCCATGGTGTTTATACTTGCGTACTATTGTTTGTACAGATGAATGTGGTACCTTCAGGCGTTTGGAAATTGCTCCCAATGATGAACCAGACTTGTGGAGGTCTACAATTTATTTTCTGAGGTCTTGGCTGATTTCTTTTGATTTTCCCATGGTGTCAAGCAAAGAGGCACTGAGTTTGAAGGTAAGCCTTGAAATACAACCACAGGTACACCTCCAATTGACTCAAATGATGTCAGTTAGCCTTTCAGAAGCTTCTAAAGCCATGACATCATTTTCTGGAATTTTCCAAGCTGTTTAAAGGCACAGTCAACTTAGTGTATGTAAACTTCTGACCCACTGGAATTGTGATATACAGTGAGGGAAAAAAGTATTTGATCCCCTGCTGATTTTGTACGTTTGCCCACTGACAAAGAAATGATCAGTCTATAATTGTAATGGTAGGTTTATTTGAACAGTGAGAGACAGAATAACAACAACAAAAATCCA